CTCGGCTCTGATAGGCGTGTGGCCCCCCAGGAGACTGAGCTCCTGAGCAAAGTCTTGGGTCCCAGTACCCGGCACAGCTGTGGATGGAATCAGAAATACGAGTGGAGGGCCAGGGAGAGGGACACCTGGGCCGTCCCAGGTGCCCCCTGGGCTCTGCTCTGAGAAGGGCGGAGAGGCTGATGGGGCTGTCACACTTCAATCCTATTTGCCTCTATTCCTTCACACTCCAAAATCAAAACAAGACCCCTATTAGTGGCAGGACCCTGTGTCCCTCAGATGGAATTCTGGGCTGGGGTTGTGTCCACCCCCTGAGACCAAGGGTCCTGGGGCAGGAGTGCAGGCAGTGGCTCCCCCTCAGACTGGGTCCCTGGGAGTGGGCCCCGGTCTCCTCTCAGACCCAAAGGTCCTCTGTAGAAACACGGTGATGAAAGAAGAAAAACTACAGGCAGCCTGGATGACCTTACAAGTCATTTTCCTTTATTTTCTTACCATATAATGAAATTCCAATTCCAAAGAGACATACATGCAGAGCAGACAGAAGCAGGTCCTGGTGTACAGCGTCAAGGGCCGGGCAGGAAGTGGGTCTGCCGCCTCCCCCCAGCACAACCCTCAGCCCTCCTGGCCCTCGGCCATGGCCCAGGCAGAAACCGAGAAGCTGGGGATGGAGGGGCCAGAGACAATGGCCTTGGGTGCTAGACCTGGCCAAATCACGATCTAGCTGTGGGACCCGGGGTCTCAGTTTCCTTATCTGTTAAGTGGGCTAGAAGTCCCTGTGCAGATGTTGTGATGGGTCAGTAACTGTTAAGGGCCTCCCGGTCCTCCTGCTGCTTCTAGATATTGGGGTATTGTGTCTCAGTTTTTGTCACCATCGTGCTACAGACATTTGGGGGATCTGCTCTGACCTGGTGGAATTGAATGGACTGTGTCGCTAACTGCCCCTGAAACAGACTCTGTGCTCCGAACTGTACCTGGGCTGTAACCATAGATCCTTCATCAGGTCAAGGCCGGCTCTCCCTCCAAGTAAGTGAGGAGCGAAGGCAATGACCTGGGTCACATGGGGAGCCTGTGCAGGTCACCCGGCTGCCCCAAATGCCCCCAACCGGGAGCTCAGCGATAGGGGAGAATCTGCTCCTCCACTCCCCCCCTCCTCAGCATCAGCTGGGGACTTGGAAAGCCCCCCAAGGGTCCAGCAAGGGCATCTGCTTCTATGGGCCAAGCTGCAGCATTGTCATCTGTCCCCAGGCTGGAGCTTTGGATAACAAACTGCCCTTCAATAAACACACACCTGCGTAACAGCGACCTGTGTCTACACCAGCAGGAGGAAGCGGAGAACCAAATAAAGAGCAAGATGATGCAGTGACAGGTGGAAAAAAACAACTAAAACTCAATGAAAAAACATGAGCATCCCTCCTTCGCCCTCTAAATGACCTTCCCTCGGCAGCGGCAGACCTGTCTGGTGAAGACACTGCGGAGGGATCAGGCCTGCTTCCCCGGGAACGGAAACCTCCAATGGCTGGAGTGTGTGTTGCTCGCTGCCGTGGACCATGCGTGCGTGTGTCCGCGCCCTCACACAGATGCACATGGGCAGCTACGTGCTTGAGGGAAGCACCCAGCCAAGGGGAAGAAGCAGAGCTGGTCCAGGCTGTATCTCCCAGAACCCACAGTGTGTCTGTGCTTACGGAGCCCTAGAGAGGGGCCTCAGGCCCAGAGAGCTCTCCCTGTCCCTGCCACTTGACAGATGGCGTCACTGAGGCCCTAACCTAGGGACAACCCCAGGCTCGTGCAGCACATCCAAGGGAGGGCCCTAGAAGCTAGCCACACTGCATGGGCAAAGCTTTTCGCCACTTGCCCCTAACACCGCTTCTCCTGGGGTCTCTTCCCCTCAAGTGCCCTTGGGGACAAAGTGCATGTGATAAGAAAGAAGGCCGCGCCCAAAGGCACAAAGCAATGATAGTGCAGCCCCAGGCACCTGCGGCAGGTGAGTTGGTGAGCAACTTTGGGATGAGGGGTGCTTTCTGGCATACCACCTGTCACACTCTGAGGGGACAACTTATCAGGGTGGGTCCCTCTCTTTCACCTCCTCTGTGACTTCAAGGGAGTGGGTGAGTGGTCAATCTTGGTCTCCAGGAAGGTCCGAGGCCACGAAACAGAGAAAGAGAAAGAAAGTGATAGGAAGAGCCCCAAATCAGGCTTGGCCACAAAAGTCCCGCGGATCTTTGGGAAGTGACTTGGGCCAGCTTGTCAGAGTGCCTACAATATGGATTTCACCCCTCCCCGCCCTCCGCCCACCCCTGCTCCCCACCCCCACGTGGATGCCCGGGTCAGGCCCCCTCTATTTGGGCTTCATCTCCACCCTGGAGTTGATGTCTTCAGCGTCCACGTCATACTCCTCCACCTGGCCGCTGGTCCACACCTTCACGCGGTCTGTGAGGTCGCTGCTGCGTGGGGCCAGGATGAAGTCATAGATGAGCACCGCCAGGGCTCCCCCGATGAACGGCCCCACCCAGAAAATCTAGGAACAGAGCGGGTGTGCTGAGAGGCCGTCTGGCAGGGCCTTCCAGGCGCCACAGAAAGCCCCTTTCCAGGACGCTTTCCCTGAGTTTCCTGCCCCACCTCCCACTGCATGGGTTCTCGCCTTGCTGTGCCTGGGACAGAGACAGTGCTGAACCCCCACGTCCTGATTCCAGTGCCCCCCACAGCCAGGACTGTGGTAGTGGGCATCTCCTTGCCTCTGTGCAGCCCAGCTCAGCATGCCTGGCGTGGGCAGACCAGCCCTTTCTTGGGAGGGCCACTGCCCCACCCCAGCTTTGGAGGGCCACAGAGTCTAGTTTGGTAAAAGGCTGGCCTGCGACAGAAACATCAACTGTAAGAACAGCTAAATCCACGGACTGCTCACTCCACCGTGCCGCACTCAGCTTATAGGTGGTGAGGCCGTTTATCCTCCCGTCCACCTGAGAGGTAGGGAGATGCCACCACACCCCCACTTCACAGCTCAGCAAACAGGCACCAACGGGGCCAGCGGCTCGCCCAAGGTCAAGCCCAGTCGGAAAGTGACAGAATCAGGATTCAGGACTCGCTGCTGGGTTGACTTGGGGCAGGTCTGAGCTGGGAGGGGAGGCCCAGCTCCACTGCCAGAGGCACCCTTCATGTCAAGTCTCAGCGCCCTGAGTCCCTCTGCCCCGGCTGCCTCCCAGAGTGTCTGTGATGAGACAGGTGTCGCAGGGCGGGGCAGGTCCTTCCATAGACACCAAAGCCTCCCGCCTGCCTCCATGGGCAGCCCTGCAGCCCCTTACCCAGTGGTCCTTGAAGTTGTGGCTGATGACGGCTGAGCCGAAGGACCGGGCAGGATTAATACCACAGCCGGTGTAGTCGATCTGCGAAGGGGAAGGGGTGGGTGGGCGGAGAGTGGCCACATAGAGAAAACACAGAGAGGTGACAATCAGAAAGAGAGGGGACGCAGACCCAGAAAGATGGTCAGGAGGTCCCCGTGCTGCCCTTTCCTGGGCAGGACCTTCTCTCCAGCCCCAAAGAGCTGATTCCCTCCTGGAATGAGCCCAGCGGGGTGGTCCCTTCCGCTGCCCATGACAGGGACCCCAACAGTCCCTGCCTGGCCCCGCCCTCTCCACCCTCACCCCCACCTGGAAAGGACCCTTACTCACCGCCAGCAGGTGTCCCAGGGCCACAGAGAGGCCTATGGCCAAGGGGGCTGAGCCCCCAAGGTCACGGCGCCTCCGGTCAGTGGTGGCCAGCACGCAGAGCACCAGCTGCAGGGTGCCGATTATCTCGATACCCAGGCCCTGGCCTGAGTTCACGCCAGGAGCCAGCTGTAGGGGAGAGCAACAGTGACGTTTGGTGAGTAGGGTGAGTGGGGACTCTGTCCCAGGGCCCCCAGGCCCAGGCACCAAGGGCCAGGCCCTCAGTGTTCTCAGAGCCCATCGGCCCATCAGCCCCTGGCTGGGCCTAGAGGGGGCCCGGCCCGGTTCAAGCTCGCACAGCTAGTAGTGGGTGTCAAGCCTTGTCCCCTCCCGCGCCTACTGAGGAAACACCAGCTAAGCTCCCGGCACTTGCCTAGAGACCTGGGGTGAGGCGGGGCATCTGCATCCAGCCATACCCTGGGGGACCAAGGCCATATCAGAGGGGTGAGGCCCAGGCATGGGAGACGGTCAGGGACAGTCATAGGAGAAGAGAAGCAAACGGGTGGGAGGGCACAGCTGGAGTCATTGCGTCACACCTCAAAAGTCCAGCATATTCTACCCCATCTCTGAGTGCATCGAAAACTCCCAAAGCTGGGGTGGGGTCCTCCTCCGTTAGCTGGCCCAGCTGTCTTTGTCCCTCTCCTTTATGCTCGTCTCCCTTGCTGCCCCCGCCAACTGACTCCTGCCCCACCTCAGTCTGTCTGTCCCCTGGTCCAGTGTCTCTCTCCCATTTCTTCTTGGTCCTGCCCTCCCTGGCTGCCCCCTGGCCCTCCCGCCCCGTCCCAGCCCAGCCCCCTCCCTCTCTCTGGCCGCATAGGCTCCGCCACCACCGTCTGGCTGCCACTTGCTCCTGGGCCACTTTTAGTAACATGACTCATGGAAAAGGAAGGGAATAGGAGCTGCCATGAGGTCACGGGAACCCTCCCCCTGCACTGTACCAGGGAGACCCCTCCCCAGGGAGCCCCTGCACGCTCCCCCAAGTGGGGGCTCTCAGGGGCCAGGTGTACCCACACAGAGGAAGCCCCCTCTCAAAGATGCCTGGATGTGGCCACGTAGGCTGCCTGCTCCCAGGCAGGGCCGGTGTGTCCGAATGAGCCTGAACTTGAAGTCTCATCCTGAATATAAGGGGGTGTATTCAAGGCAGTCAGGTATTTTGCAGAATCCGAGGTGGGGGGCGCTCCTCCACCTTCCAGAGGTTTACTCAGCCCCACACTGAGGCCCTCTTACAAGAACAATTCCCTTCCCGCCTTTGTCTGCTGCCCTGGGTCACAGGGAAAGTGACTCACATCCCTGCCCTGTGTGGTAGGCCCAGCTCTGGGCTTTTCCTGGCCGACAGCAGAGCTGTGCCCTCAGCTCAGCCGGGCCTCTGGGCAATGCCCACTGTTCCCGTCACCCCAAGGTGGACCCTCAAGGCAGGGACCCTGTGCTCAGGTTCTGACTCTCCACCTTGCTAGCCCTTCCTCTCTCTGGTCCTCAGTTTCCCCAGATATAAAATAGATCTACATGACCCTGCCCACTCTTCAGAGAAGCCAGGGGTTCAAAGGCAAAGGGGGCTGCCTTGGGGCATTTGGAAAGGGCTGGAGGGCAGGAGGGACAGGAGCATTGTGGCTTTGTTCTGGCTGTTTTCCATCTTACCCCCAGACCTGGGGGACAGGCAGAAGGGAAGGGGTCCTGCTGCACAGGGACGTGGAGATGGGAGTGAGGCCTGCCTGGTGGTGGGGCGGGCTCCGTGGCGGCGAGGCTGGTGAGGCCGGGCCGCTTGTGCAGATGCTCATCGCACTCACACCTGCCACTACCCTCTGAGCTCTCGGGAAGCTCAGGGCTCCCTCTTCTGCCTCCTCTGCTTTCCAGGCTGGGCCTAATTGCTAGCTGGCAAGCGTCCTGAAACCAGCTTCCACGCCGATTAATGGAGCCAGCCATCGCTCTAAGTGGCTCCCGCTTTATATTCTCCCCATCCCCACCCTGCCCCTCTCACAGCTGTGGCCTGGACGAGCTCATCTCCTCCCCTGGTTCTTAACCAGGACTGAGCATCCCAGCCCCTGCTCTCTCTAGGGGCACCCCTTTTCATGCAAAGTGAGCAGAGCAGGAGGGCCTGGGGCCATACTCAGCTCTCTGAGTCACAGGAACAGGACACCTGCCCTGGGATCTCCAGGAGGTCCTTTCCTGACTGTCCAGAGTCCTTAGAGCATGACTGCTCAGAACCACTTGGGTTGGTAACCTTCCTCTCTTAAACTCATTACCACCACCACCAGGAATCCTCCCCTAATTGTTTCACTGTCACACGCCCACACACAAGTGTCACCCTCCATGGGCCCTCATGTGTGCATGTGCCTCTGGGTGCTCATTTGTGTGCCTCTGTGTGTCTTTGTAGATCCACGTGTGCAGTACCTGTGGGTAACCATATGCATCCAGGTATGACTCCCTTCTTGTCTTTATCCTCAGACATTCAGAGATTTAATACACAATGATTAAATGACAAGCCTATCAAAAAGCTATAAAAATTCTCAACCTTTATGCACCAAAAAACATAGCCTGAAAATAAGTGATGCAAAAATCAACAGCATTTCAAGGAGAATCTGAATAATCTACCACAGGATTAAAAGAGTTTAATCACCCTCTCTTAGAAACTGAAGGAATAAAGCAGTCAAAAAATATAAATAGCACAAGCAGGGAGGATTTGAACCACATAATTAGGGAGCTTGATTTAAGGAAAATATGTAAAACCCTGCACCCCAAAATTTGAGAATATGCACTCTTTTTCAGCCCATGTGGGGCATTCAGACAGACTGGGCATGTGTTGACCAGATGCGTCTCAGCTAACTCTAAGAAGCCCTACCACACAAGGTCCCATTTGTCCCTGAGGTGGGCTCTGTGTGTGCCACCTCACAGGTGCCAGCGCTGGCTGGGCAGAGGAAAGGAGGCCCCTTGAGTGAGAGAGAGCAGCAAGTCTCAAAGGGCCGTTTATTTGCTCCCAGAAGCCATTTCATCTTCCTGACAAGAAACAATACACAAAACAATAGCTTCCTCCTGCCCTCCCTCCTTCTTGTCCTTGCTCCAGCACAGCCCCCGACTTCCCACCAGAGAAAGGAAGAGGCTCCATTGAGGGGCCCCCGCCCCCACCCTCCTGGGGTCCCAAGCGCTGAACAGGACCACCCAGATGAGACTGTGCACCACGCCCACGTGTGCACCCCATGTGCCATGTACCAGTGCGTGTGTGTGAGCCTGTCTGCTCAGGAGCAGCAGAAATAACCCAGGGCTGGGAGGCAGGCGGCTCAGGGCATGGTCCTGCCCTGCCAAGATCAGCTGTGCAAGCCCACAAGTCTCCACACCTCTGCGGCCTCAGTTTCCTCCTTAGCAGCATGGGAGCCTGGCCCTGTTTCCAGCCCACACAGTCTCCAGCATTCCTCCCTTCCTGACATGGGGCTCCTGCTCCAAGACCCACGGTCACCCTCCCAGCCGGGATCCAGAGACCCGAGTGCAGGATTCCCTCCCGCAGGCCATCTGAGCTGCTGGTCTCAGTGTGGCACAGAGCCTGTTCCAGGACCTCCCACCCGCGCCGCCTGCACCCCACACGGCCAGATGCCCCGAGCAGCCCGCTGCCAGACGCATTCTCTGGGAGCGTCCCTCATAACAGGAGCTTATTGGCTCGGAGGCAGCCGCTTCCCAGGAACAGAAAGAAAAACGAAATTCCTTCTTTACTCTGAGCAGACAGTTAATCTGACGGTGGGATTTCAGGCACTGAAAGGAACTGCTCGTAGGAATGAGGCACTTTTCAGCATCGCCTACCATCATTTGAGTTGGGGTTTTCGACCTCGGGGTATGTTCACCCCACTGGGCTGCGGCGCCTTGGTTGCCTAAAGACAGCCCCTCACTTATGCCCCTGGGCAGCACTGTGGGCAAGGAGCCCGTCTGGTCCCTGGGGAGAGGCCCTGGCCCCAGGGACGCTGACCATGACAACACATTCCTGCCCACACCTGCAGCTGCGTGGGCTCAGCCCCAGCCATTAGGAAAACTCCAGACCCATTGGTGCTCCCAGAGGGAGGGGACCAAGACCCCCAGGGAGGCTCTGCCTGCAAGAACGGAGGGCTCCCCATCTTCCCAGGAAAGGGTTCCTAAGCCAGTCCCCAAGGAGTGAGCAGGCAACAAGTTTGAGCTGCCTCGCAAAATCCCCGCTAGGTGAACACAGAAGGAACGACTGCTGGGTGGGGCTCTAGACAAAGTGGGGAGCTCTATACAGGCTGAGCTCAGACGAGGGAGGGCTGCATGGAATTGGCCTGCAATGAGCTAATGGCCTAAGGGGTAAGAGGGAGGGCCTGGGGCCTGGAGGGGCGAGTCCCCTGAGACTGAGACGCCCCTCGCAGAGCATCACCCCTTCAGAGGAGGATTTCCCAAGGTGAGCCCTGGTTAGGGCCGAGTGTCGGTGGGCAACACGGGGCCAGCGGGGCTGCTCTGAGGGTCCTAATGGGGGTGAACAGCCTCAGAACTTTCCACGCTGGGGGAAGTCTCCACCGCAAAGGTCCTGCTTCGCTCTGTGCCCTCCCCCTCATCTGTTCTGGCTGGAAACAGTAATTATACCTCCCAGCTGTGGCACCACCTCCCAGCCCCGGCCCCCTCCATGGGCAGGCTGGGCTGGGCAGGGCCGTTGGAAAGTTCTGGCTTGCCTTTCCCCACCCCACCCCTAACTCTGGAGGGGGCAAGAGTGGTCCTTAACTCGAAAGAGTGGTGGCGCGGGCAGCCTCTCACTCTCTGGTTGGGGAAACTGAGGCCCAGGAAACTGCGGGAAGGGACAGTTTAGGGCTGATACGCAGGTAGAGGCACCCCGCAGGCAGTCAGGACCAGAATCAGCAGGGCTGAGAGAAAATCCCCAAAGAGGGGAGGTTTGCCATCTGCCTGAGCCCCCTCAAGGGCTGATATTACAGACTCCGGGACCGCCAGGAATCCAGTTCCTTCCAGGATGCAGTCGGATACGGGCCTGAATCCTGAGCCCTTGCCCCCCTCCAGAGCCCCCAACCTCCCACCATGACCCGCGGTGTGGCCACAACCCACAGCTCTCGGGGCGTCACCTCCCACTGCCTCCTGGCCTGTGCCTGAAAAGCCCTTTCCGGGCCGTCTTCACATTCAGGCTCACGCAGCACCTCCTCCATGAAGCCTCCCTGGCCCGCCCTCCCCCTAAGGTCAGAAGTTCCCTGGCTACCCTGACATCTCTTATCACACCTGCCTCCTGCTTCATATCCCCGGCAGCTGTGCACAGGGCTTATCTTGCCCAGACTGTCGGCTTCCCTGGGGCAGGGAACCGGGACACTCAGCATGCGCTCGGCCTGCCGTCGTCCTGGTCCCAGGTACAGGGCGCCTGAGTGAAATAGCCAGAGAGGGGAACAGTCAAAAAAGCCAGGACCGCTCAGGGCTCCCGAGTTCGCCAGGGAGCGCCGGCCGAATCCCAGAGCCCAGCCACAGCCTGCTATGTCCCTATTTCACAGATGGAAGCGAGGACTATACAGGCAAGGTCGCTTGCATGAAGTCACACAGGGCATCGGCGGCTGAGCTCGGGCAGGGGCACGCTGGGACACCAACCCCTGCCCTTGGCCAAAACTGGGCTTTGGCTCTTAGAACCAGGCGGGAACCCTGTAGGCTGGACAGAGGCCCGTGGTCTCTCCAGGGCGTATCCTGAGCCCTGACTCACTGAGGAGAAAGTTCTCCCCACCATACCCCAGGGGGGACACCCCCTGACTCACCCCAACCACTTCCTGCCACTTCTTTCTCTATTTTTCTTGGAAATCTCCATGCCAACGACTTGCTCCACCCAGGCCTGGCTCAGGGTGGGGCCCAGGGCCCCAGGGGCTGTGGGAGCTTCCCCCAGGGCTTGAAAGAAAGTGTGCCACCTTCTGGGTAGACTGGTCTCTGTCCTTCCTGAGGCATTAAGGCCACCCCCCCCAGGTCCCATCAGATCCCAGGTCCAGTGTCTGACAGGAGCCCTTGGTGAGTGGGGGACACTTTCCCTGTTTCTATGTCCAGGACTTGTGCTTCTGGATTCTAAACTCGTGGACAGGGCAGCGCCCGGGCCGCCACCACAGTGCTCAGCGCACTCATGTTCAGCATGGCCCCTCTGCGGCTCCGTGTAGCCAGACGCTCTGGGAAGGGTGATCAACTCAAGCCCACAAAGTCCGCTTGCTGCAAGCATGGGCGTGGCCCAAGAGCTAGCAAGACACCTGGGTCCCCTCGCCGAGCCTCGCGGTCCTCAGCGCCGAGGACACTCAGCAAGTTAGCAGCAGACAGGCTTGAAGCCGCCGTGCCTACCTCCCAGCCCAGGGCTGGCCCCCTCCTTCTTTTGTCTCTAACCTGCCCAGGTATTGGGATGACTGGAAAACGGAGGCCGAGAGGGAAAGAGACACCAGATCAGGATGGCACAGGAGGTGCCATTCTCCCAGCCACCCGCCTGGGGTGCCCCTGTTGGAGAGGCAAAGCCTGCCTGTCCCTGGAGAGGGAGGGGAGCAGGGCCCAGACAGCCTGGGGAGACACAGCTGAGCCCCAGTGTGAACCCGACCCTGCCCAGAAGGGTACCCCCTGAGGTCACCTGGCTCTGCCCCCACCGGAGAGACTGAGGCTGGGAGCGATGTGGCTGCCAGGGCTCTGTCCTTTACTCCCATCCTGGCCATGTCTTTCCCAACTAAAGTCTAAACTCCAGCCTGCAGGGCTAATCTTCAATCTTGGGCTGAGCAGAGGTTGGCTCCACTAGAGGGCTGGGTGAGGTGTCACTGTGACACAAGAAGTGCTAATCCCTCTGTGGCGGGGCCGTGCCAGCTGCCCTCTGCACCAGACCTGAACAAGCCTTCCCCAGCTACAGTACCAGGCTCTGAACTTTGGCTGGGAAACCAGAGGACAGTTGCTTTAATCACCTACGGCCGGCTCCCTCACTGTCCCCACACCCACCTGCCCTGCCCAGGGCCAGCCAGCCTCCTTTCTCCAGATCTAGTCCTCTGCTCTGCTCCTTGGCCACTTTCCCGCCCTGGGAGGCCACCCCCTCAGGTATTCCAAGACATCCTTCAAGCCTTCCTCAGCCTCTCAGGCCAAATTTCCCCCTGCTGTGGCCCAGGCCAGATCTGAGCATGCACTTGGCTCAGGGTCTGGAAAAGCCCAGGTCTGCGACAGCGGGCAACTGCCGCCCACAGCCAATTAGCTGTGCTAAGCGGCCCGGGAGGAATTCTTTTCAGCAGCTGCCACCCAGTCGCCAACATCTGCTTATCATTAGTTCCCCGAGCCCAGGCCCCATGCAAGCCCGGAGCAGTAGGCACACACGGGGACACTCACCCCCACACAGGCTCACACAGCAGCACCAACACGCTCACGGGCACTTACAGAAACAGACACCCACGAGAGCACACGGGTTACACCAGCTCAAGACCCACGCGGCATCCACCTGTTCACACACACACACACACACACACACACACACACACTCACACACACGTCCCAATGCCCAGCATTGCCCAATGCCTCTCAATGCCCAGTGACAGAGAGTGCAGCCCAGACAGAGTGCAGCGAGATGTCCCCATCCTGGTCACACTCTAATCCAGGAAAACCACCTGCAAACTGCCCACAGTGTTTTCTACCCCCAATCTGTGTCCCATTCCTGGGGCCAGGAGAGTGGGAGGGGCTGTTTCCTTGAAGGCAGTTTGTTTGCGGACCTTTGTGAATGTCAGTGTTGCCTAGAGGCCTCTGGGGCCCCCCACGGGCGTCCTCCCCACACACTTGCAGAACAGGCTGCAGACATACCGGGTACCTGCTTTAGGGTGACTAGAGACACAGGGCAGTTTCCCCAGGGCCCAGGCTGCAGGAGGGGGCAGCTGGCTGCACAGGCAGAGCTGAGGGGGGCCAGAAACTACCGGTGAGAGGTGACAAACTGGCCCAAACTATGGCTACCTCCAGATTATTCCTCACAATAGATGACCACAGGGGACATTGGCAAAACTGTTGTTCCCTGGGTCTCAGCTTCCCACAGTGCCTGGCAGCAAACAGGCTCCGGGCTGCAGGCGCAGCTGAGTCCCAGCCCCATGCATGACCTCCTGCAACCCCTGCTCCTCTGTTCCTCGACGTCCCCATCTGCACAATGGGTGGAGGATGAAACCAGTGCCATCTCAGCACTGCTGTAGAGACACCCCCCGAGGTAGGGGCCGCTCTACTCACCTCATTGCGGCCAAGCGAGTTGTTGTTCAGGGACGAGGTGATGCCCGATAGGATGGCAGTGGCCACGATGGCCCCCACGCACTGGGAGATGATGTACAGGACAGCCCGGAGGATGCTGATCTGGCAGCTGAGCAGCAGCCCCAGCGTGACAGCCGGGTTGAGGTGGGCCCCGCTGATGTGGCCCACGCTCTGGGCCAGCGTGGCGATGCTCAGCCCGAAGGCCAGCGACACCTTCACATTGTCCTGGGTCGCACCTGACGTGTTGTTGCTCTTCAGTGGGTAGTTGAAGCCCAGGGCGGAACCGATGCTGATGAAGACGAAGAGGGTCATGGCCAGGAACTCAGCCACCACCGCCCTCCAAAAGAGCTTCTTCTTGAACTCGCTGGCCATGCTGGCAGGGGGCTTGGCTGGAAACCGCTGCCTGGTGCTCGACTCCCTCTGAGAGCTGGGCCACAGCCCTGGCCGGGCCTATTTATAGGGCCCCTGGGGGGGAGGAGGGGGGGAGCACAAAGGGAGGAAGGCCTCTCCTTGCTCCTGGCCCGCCCCACACCGCACGGGCCTCCTCTCCCCGATGGATGCAGACACAGCTCTGCTGTCGGCCTGCCAACTTTTTTCCCTTCCTCCTCTCTGCCCCCTCCCTCCGCCCTCAGCCCTGCCCAGCCCGAGGAGGCAGGCAGGAGGCAGCCACTGCTCTAAGAGGCTTTGGGAAATTCCTCCAAGTTGGCTCCACTCAGGGGGCCAGAGAGGTCCAGGTATCCCCGCCCTGCGTGCAAAGCTCACGGGCTCCCCAAGGGCAGAGCCCGGTGCTTCCGATGGGGCGGGCTGGGAGGGCTGGGCTCAGTAGGTGGACATTGCCCTCCCTGGAGGCTGACACCAGACACCATGATCCTTCCAGCCAGGCATCCCCATCCTATCCCAGGCTGCTGTGAATCTGGAGCCCACGGGTCCAGGGGTCTGGAGGAGCAAGCTAGGCCTCCTGCACCCCAGCCCGGACCTGGCCACTGGATGTCACTTCAGGAATGTCCCAGAGCCCCCAGCCACACCAGCCAGGCCTCAGTTGATGGGGACATGGAGGCATCAGAAGGTGCAGAGAGCTTAGCTGTAGCTCGCCCTCCGCTGTGTGGCCAAGGGCAAGCCTGAGAGGGGTGAGGGTGTTGGGAAGCCCCCACCTGGGAGGCCTCAAGCCTCTGGAACAAGGTAACCAATGATCTGGGTGCAGGTCGGGGAAGAGGAGGCAGTTTAGGACTTTCTTCTCAAAGGCAGTCAAGCTGGCTGAACCACCGGGGAGACGAAAGCAATGGCAGCGCAACCTGGAGACTGGATCGCAGGGAGGGAAAGAGAAGAGGAGAGGTGAGGACAGGAGAGGACAGGAGAGGGGAGGCGGGGGGAGAGGAGGGAGCACCAGGGAGAGGGACGGCAGACACAAACTGAGATGGGAGGGTAGTCCAGCCGGGAGAGGAGTAGAGACGGAGTAAGAGGGAAGCAAAATCATCACAAGCATGGAAGCGAAAGAGAGAGGTTCCCAGGCAGAGGCAGTGAGACAGGCCAGGGCTGAGAAGGAGACAGACGAGAGCATGCAGTGGGTGGAGCACCCAGCTGACGGAGCGGAGAAAGGGCTGGAGCCAGAGGCTAGAAGCTAAAGGGGAAGACGGATGAGGAGGGCGGAGGGGGAAAGAGAGGCCAGACAAGCCCCCTGCCCGGCAGAGGGAGAAGGAGAGCTGCAGACCCTGCAGTCCAGCCTATGCCCTGTGCGTCCCCAAGCAGAGAGCCCGTGGCAGCCAACAGACTGAGCGGGAAACTGGACTTGTGGGGCTGGGAGGCCGGCCGGGAACCTGGGCCCAGTGGCCAGCCTGCGGACCGTTCGTGCATAGAAAGAGGAGCCAGGCGGGCGGTGAGGCCAGGCCTAGCCGGTTGGGGCTATCCCTGGCTCTCTCCCACACCCTGCCTGCCCCACCACAGCCCTACACGCGAGTGTTGCTTCTCCCCATTCTACAGGTGGGCAACTGAGGCCCAGCGAGGGGAAGGCCTTCTCTGAGGTCTACATGTACCAGGGGCAGGGAAGCGATAAGCTTGTCCATCTTGTGCCTCCTGTCCAGGGGCCATCTGCACAGACGACACCAGGGCCCCCCTGACCCGGGCACCCTTCTACGCAGCTGTAGCACACACCAGGGTCACCCTGGCCCCAGGGAAGAGCCGCCCAGCAGGCAGCCTGCTGTTTGCTGAGAGAAGGAGGCCCACTGGGCTGAGGGTGGAGGGAGCTGTGTCCACTCAGGTGCACCTAAGTCCCCGTAAGTACAGGGCAGACTGAACGCGGGGCGGGAGGCAGCATGGGGGCCGCTAGCCCTGCCTGCTCGGGGAGCCTGCGGAGATAATCAGTGCCTTATTAACCACCCGAGAGAGGGGCCAGCCCCACTGGGCCTCTTCCCAGAAACTCCTTCCCACCCTTCCCTCTGGGCAGTGCTGGCTCAGCTCTCCGAGGCCCAGGAGGCTCCCGTCTGCCCAGGCCTCTGGCCCCAGGGCTCCGTCCGCAGGCCTGACAGCCCCTCACCAGGCTGTGTAGGGTGACCGTTTCTTCCCTCAGGCCAGGCTCTGAGGGCAGGACTGGGGCTTCCCTCAGCCATGGTCCTCTGGAGCAGGACCATTTCTCTTCAGTGTCCCCAGAGAGACATACACGCTATTTTCCTCCTGCCCCCTCAGCTGTCCCTGCCCTTTGCTGGGTGCAGTGATGAGTTCTGACACTAGCAAGTACCAGGTTCCAGCCAGGAGGTGGCAGGGGGAGAGCTGGCACCAGACCCGCAGGGCCCCCGGGCTCAGGCTGGTGTGAGGGTATGGCACTGCAGAGACAGGGATAGGAGCCTGCGTGGGCCTGTGTGTGCCCCGGGTTCTGTGACGGTGTCCGTGGGCCAGGTCAGGATCCATGCACCCAGGGACACGTGATGTGCCACCATGCATGAGGGTGAGAGTCACGTGGGACCTACTAATTTATCCAAAAAGTATTTACCTAGTACCTGTCATTGTGCCGTACACTGTTCTGGGCACTGGGGGACAGCTACAAACCACACACTGTGTGGGCACCCTGGATGACACCGTGTGTGGCTATGGAAGGCACATGCCTGTGAGTTTGTACTTGGCAGAGGCCCACGTACTTCTGGAGAAGGGCAGAAGACGGGGGACCCAGGGGTCATAGTGTAGGCAAAGCCCTTCTGCCGAGGTGAATTAGGCACCCACCAATCTCAGGATGGTAGATGAAGGCAACACCCCTCTACCCCCTGCATCTCCCACCCTCTTCCCCATGCCAGCATGTCCTCTGCCTTATGTGCCATTATAGCTCCATTCCTTTGGAAGAAGGAAGGCATTGCCTTCTCCAGGAAAAGCCATCGGAATTCAGGCATCTCCAGAAGAATGCCTACCATCTCCCATAATGCAGCGGGGCCTCTGCAGCCATGACCTGACTTTCAATGGGAAAGGAAGACGGTCTCCTGCTGGAGCCCCAGACCCGGGAAATTCCCAAACCTCTCCACCTCCTTTTCCCTGGTCTGCCACTAATCCGGGCCAATCAGGGAAGGTGGGAAATAAACAGCATCTAAGCTGAGGGCCCGCCTTTACCACAACCCTGGGGGGCTCAGACGTTAAGTGGCTTGCCAAGGAACGGCAGAGCTGGGATTAGAATTCAGGACTCCCTAATTCCCAGAGCCCACGTCTGGTTCTCTGCCTGCCTATGAGGAAGGGCCCCTGATGGACCTGGTTACCAGGTAGAATCCCCAGTTCTTCCAGTCCAGCAATAAGTACAGGGCTGGGAGATCCAGCCCCTAGAGGTGCTAGGAAGGGTGAGGGCTGGGAGTGAGCGGACCGTCTCCAACTTTCCTAAATAATTAGGGTAGGGTGGGGGGTCGGTGGGGAAAGAAGTATGGAGGCTAAGACCGGACACACAGAGAAGCTGGGAGGGGCCACAGTCACACCTATGGCCTCCTGGCCCCGGGGCTCCGGCTCTGAGACAGGGCGCTGCCTCCGCCCCGGTTCCTTCAGCGGGGTCTGCTGGCAGGTTCCTTGTCCCTCCCATGCACACGGGCACAGGCCCAGCCTCCGAGACTAAATAAGGGGGGCTCACCCCAGCTCCGGATCCCTGGGCAGTACTCGAGGCCACTCAGGCCCCGGCACTGTCTGGCCCTGCCAAGCAACGGTCTCAGCAAATGCTTTTCCAGATGTGCCTTTATTCCTCACATGCCCAGCAAGACCCGGATGCGCGTGAGAGCGGGCTGTTCCCAGGGCAGTCTGGGCTCCATCCCCACCAGGATCCAGTGGGAGAGGCCCAGGCTCTGTGCCTCAGATGCTGGGTAAGGATCCCGCCCCCTCGGGCCGTGTGGGAAGAAGACGCCCGTGGGCTCTCTCAGGGCAGAGGGGCTAAGAGGAATCGACCCTCCTCCTGGGCTGGGCAGGGATTTCCCTCTCCAGGCTGGACTGTGGGGAAACATGACTTCACTCCCTCCGGGAGGCCCGCTGGAAAAATGGGGCGGGAGGGGACTCAGACAGCAGACTGGCCGTGACCACTCAGGCACCATCAGCTCACCAGCAGCTCGGATGAATTTTCCAGAAGCACTCAGGCTTTCCTGAATAGAGGCTGAGAGCACTGATGGGGCGGGAAGACAGGACAGTTCCTGAGGGTCCAGGAGAGGGGGGGATGGGAATCAGAGTGCCCAGAGGAGCCCTCTGCTGCCTCCCAGTTCTCCCTCTCAACGGGGCACACGCTACCACCCTCCACTGGCCTCAGTCTCGCACCGCCGGCCCTGCCTCTTGGCTGCTCAGCTGGGGCCCGTCTCCCTCCCTAAGCCCCACAGGAGGCAGGGGCCAAAGCAGGGATTTGGCACTAGTGTCTGCCCAGCCTTCCCTTGAGGCGTGGTCATCCCCTCCCGGGGGGGCAGAGGAGGGGACCCAGGCCCAGAGCAGAGACCAAGAAGGAGGCCGGTTGTCCCCTCCAACTCCTCAGCCCGCCCATCAAGGCTCTCCACTCGCCACCCTGTAGGGCACTTGCCATCACCCCTACCCAACTCCAGAACAGGGCTCTGGTCCCTACGCCACCAGCCTCCCTGTCCCTTGTATGTTTGCATACACAATCTTCCTTCACCTTCCAACCTGTACCAGCCTCCCCTGACCCGCTATCCTCCGTGGCCGCCCCCACAGGTACGGGTGTGACATCCCAGCTAGGGCTGTCCCCCTCATGGTGCTGTGGCATGAGACTAGACACTGTCTTCCTGTGCTCTGTGCCCCCAGGTGAGCTGGGCTGGGCATGGTGGGAGGCGGGGAATAATCTGGGAAGCACCTGCTCTCTGATCATCTGACCCCCCACAAGAGACGGGCACCCACCTCTCACAGCATGTGAATTCCTCCGTCTGACAGATAACTTCTGGCCATTTAGGCGTCACACGATCCCCCTTAAATCAAAACCGGATTTAATGGGCCACCAGTGATTCACCAGAGGGAACAATTCAGTCATTTTCTAAGCCCCTGCCTCCGGGTCCCCTCTCCTCCCGCTGCTCTCAGCCCCACCCCTGCCTGCCCGGAGCTGTGTCGAGGCTTGGGGGCAGGCAGCGGGGACACAATGTCAAACCTATTTCTA